CAGGAAGCCTCTTTCCTTGTCCGGAACATGGTGTGGCCTCAGGGTTCTAATGAAGCTTCATGAGCTCTTGCGCCCTTTGCTCAAGAAGCGCAGCCTGATCAAGCTGACCAAGCAGCAAGGAAGATTCCAGATTCTAGCCTGTTTATGTGTGTGGGAAGACATGGCGCATTAAGCTTCTTGATTTGTACATGTTGCCAATGTGGGATTTACAATTCATGATTAGGGCATGCACTTTTCCAGGGGTTGGGGGCTCAAATGCCTCTTCCATGCCTCAGGAATCACTTCAGGAAATCTATGTCCCAGGGATTTATGGATTCTCATGCGTTCATATCTTGAATACTTCAGACTGTCTGCGCCACCCACCATATGCAACCTGAGGACAGGCACTCCTGACATGCAGATTTCGGCCATATATCCCCATGAGTTTGGGACAGCGGTTGCACAAGTTCTATTGTGGTTGAGGAGTTCTTCGGATGCCATGACAATGATGCGATTTGCTCAGAACTATGCTCATTGCATGCCCACAGCCCAAGATGTACTCAATCAAGCCCGACTTCTTGCCCAGCGTTTCTCCTGGAATGACGTAGATTGTGGCTGGGAAGGCATTGAGGAGCTCTGTTGTCCCAAGCCTGACTGTCGGTTGGTCAAGCAGGCTCTCTTGAGGCGTCGTCTTGCGCTTGAGACAAGCAAGAAACCTTTAATGGTGATGGGAGATTCCGAGGAGGAAGAAGCCGAGGTTTCTGATACCTTGTCTGAGGATTTTGATTCTGTTCAGGTTTCTACACGGTCTGAGGAGTTTCGATTCTTGCTGTATGTTTCACGTATATTTTCTTGTTACGGTTGTCTCATTATACGACTTCCCCGTATTCGTAATTAGAATAGAAGTGGGATAGAGTTAGGCTGCCTCCATGTGAATCAATGACAGTATTCCTTTTTGGGTTCTGGGATTCATCAAAGTCTCAGGGGTTTCCGTAGTGTATTATTTCAGCACGTGTTCCGGTGAAATGACTTTACTTGTATACTGGCGCTAGGCCATCACTGCCAGAATCCCCAACCCCTGGCAATGCAATCACCTGAATCACTGCTGGCCCAGGATGGGAGCCCCCGGCCTCCCAGGATACCTTCTCGGACACGTTCGTGGCTGGTGCTGCCTCCTCCAGTCAGCATGCAGGCTTGCGTATCTTATGTTCGTGCAATTTTAGAGGCACTTGACGTCTTGCACATCTAGGGCTCTCTGCTCTCGTTTTGGTCCATTGGAAGTTCTGCACTTTTCCTGGACATGATTGCTAGTGTCACTGCTGTGCAACTTCAAGATCTTGCATATTAATCCCCGTATGCAGGTGATGATTCGCTTGGATGGATGCGCTACAAGAACAATGATTGGCCTCAGGATGATGTTCAGGACAGCTTGCCATGTTCTTCACATTCAGCTACTGCGGGAATTGTTTTGTCTGTGTGCTCTGGCGTAGTCTTCTGTTTGTGCACGAAATAATTTCTGCAAGGGGAAACAGTATGCACATGATATAGGTATGCGTATCTCACTTTGCAAGGAGTCTTGATGCTGGCTCGCGAGGAGCCTTCGTTCTGAATGTGCCGCGGCTTCATTGGTTCTCATTTGTGCTTCTGACGTGCAATGTGCACTGCATTAGGCTGTTGTCTGCATGTTCCTTCTTGCTGCCCCCCCCCATGTTTGTTCCGCTCTGCGTCTCAGGTGCTTCAGTGGCACTCCTTTCCTGTGGGAGGCTGCTGTGAGGCTGCCCTGGAGGTGGCGTGTTGGCATTTCAATTAGTGGGTTGCACGAACGCACTTTGCGACCACGCATGCCGTCTAGATGCTTGCAGATTGTTCTGTATGGGTTCTACAGGAGGGGTAGAAGTTATAATCGCGGGATGCTGTAATTTTATGGGTTTTCGGAACAATCTGCATGTGTTGGCTTTCGAGGTCACGTGCAAATCTGTTCAGTGCAGCAAAAGGCTTTCTCTCATTTGGACATGTGTTTGCCAGCCTTGCAGAGCAACACTGACGCTAGCACATTCTGGCAAGCAACCTTCTGTGCTGTTCTCTCTATGCAGCTGCGCTCTCTCTGCCACGTTTGTGTGAGGGCCAGGCCTTTACCTACTTGGAATGGGCGCAAGGAAGCAGACTCGTAAGTCAGGCAAGGATTCCAAGCGGAAGAAGCGTGCCCGCAGTGCTTCATCCTCCACTTCCGATGAGCAGGGGGAGGATGTGACTCTTATGCATTCCATTGCAGCTTCGTTTGGTGTGAAACTTGTTCGCAACACTCATGCACGTTCATGGATGCCAAATGCTTAGAATTCTTTCTTTCACCTGGAATCTCAGGAAACCCAAACAATTGCAGATGTCAAATCGTGTTCTCAACCTCGGAGACCTTAACCCGGCTGTACTTGCTTCGTGCCTGGCGCGTGTCACGGCGCCCCTGACGGATAACACACTCATGAAACTTGGCGGTGAAATGCTGCAGGCTTGACTGCTGCTTGCTGGTACAGATCTCTCACGCACTCTGCCTTGCCAACATGTTCTTTCCTGACTTGTGCAGTTGAAGAAACGCGCGAAGATTCAGATTGGACTGGATTCCGCTGATGGTTTGCTTCTCAAAGCTCGACTTTGCCAAAGTGAAGCTCATGCCGAGTCCATGTGGCGGGACCGCTTGTTGAAGCTTGCAGAACAAGGTCGGGTGTGCTTCCAGGATATTGTTCTTGCTGCTACTCACTGCCTTCTGGCTCTGCGCCAGTCACGGGACTCGATGGACTCACTGTTATCACTCAACATCGTCATGCTATCAGCGTGCGGAGGCCTGTTTAACTTCATGTTTTTGCTTCAGCTTACTTCTGCATGTGCGCTGCCAGGATGATGACAGCAGAGGTGGATGCTCGCCAGGTTGCTGAGGATGCCTCTGCCTGGGCCTCCAAGGTGGCAGAGGTTCTCAAGGAACTTCAGCTTGAAGCTGCTGAGGAGTTCGCTCAGGAAAGGACGGCCATGAAGGATGGTTTGCCCAGGATCCGATCCTCTAAGGACTTGACTCAGGATTCAGGCAGTGAATCTGCCACACCCAAGAAACCAAGGCGTTCAACTAGGGCCAAGACAACTTCAGTTCGAGGCTCCTCCAAGGACTGCGCACTGCGTCCATGATGGAATGTGCGTCCTGTCTGCTTGTCATTGTTCATGCCTGCTATTCATGCCTCAGGATGCGGGCGCTGGGAGAACCCCTGGGACGTGGACGGATCAAACACAGTCCAACTCGGACTGGCAGGTGACAAATGATTCCGACCTCCTCAGCAAGAAGTTTGCTACCAAGGATCGTGCTATGGGCAGTACAGCTGCGCGGAAAGACGTCCCTCAGGGAGTGCAAGCTTCCGCTTCGGTCAAGGACTTCATAGCGGGTGAGATTGACATGTTCTTTGCCGCGGATGGTGACAAGGCTCGCTTCCTTCAGATTCTGGTTGATGATGGGCTGGTTTCTTGACTCCATTAAGTTGATTCATCGTGTAAGGCAACATTGTATTGGCCTTCACCTAAGGTTTCGATTCGCTCCTTTCTGGAAGGTTTGCGCGATGGCTGGTGCATCGATGCCATGGGAGAAGCTGCGCGCAGGGAATGCGAAGCTATGTCATGGACAGGGAGGCAATGCATGAAACGACTCATCAAGCAGATCACGACTCAGCTGGACTGCTTGTTCTTGTGATGTGTACCGTACTTGCTCTTTCCTGCGTGTTCTTGCATCTCTCTGTTCTGATCCTTTTTCAGGACCTCTACTTTGACAGAGCGGGCAAGTTCGTTGCCAGGGAGCTCTTCCCTGATGAACCTGCTTCAGTTGCAGCTGCTGCAAAGGAGATAGGACAAGCCCTGGATAAAACCAAGCGTTCCCCTGGCCGTGAACGTAACCTGGCTTCCAGCTCCTTGGATTTAAACCTCCCAGCAGAGTCAGACAGCGATGCTTAGTACCCGAGCAGAGGCAATGCCTGCTTGCTTTTGATTTTTGCGGAGGCCTATTGGGGAGGCCCGAACTTGCACTCTCAGGAATCCAGCGCCTGCTCCGGATGAAATCTGCGGCCTGCATGCTGCCTTGCTGTTCTCTTGCGCAAGAATTGCTAAACCTTACTGAGACCTGATTGTGCAGAGCTGCTCCTCTCTCAGTGTGTGTTGACGTACACCATGCCCCATGCTGCCAACAAGATTCCCCTGGGTCCTGTATCTGCCATGAAGTCGTGTCTCGTTTGGCTTCCTGATCCGCACTGGCAAAGGCACCTGGATACACGAATCTTGGTTAACTTTCTAGAGGAGGATGAAGACTGGCAGGACCATGTGATGCAGTGGCTTGGTTGGGCAGGGGAAGGGGAGATGCTGCACCGTCATGAAGGCCTGGCGCTGGAGATATGTCACAGGTTCGGGGACGATGTTCTTCTGCGTGATTATGAGGGCCCTTCTTATGTGGCAGTGCGTCTTCAAAGAACCGTGCTTCAGATTGCGAGTCTGGAGGGCATGGACTAGAAGACTGAGAAATTCAGGATATGCTGGGCCTGGGAGTGTTAAAATACATGTCAGCCTGCCTGTCATGTGGCTTGCTGCACTCCACTGCTGTAGCTGCACTGTCACAATGCAATGCGTGCTCACATGCTGTCTTGCCGCTACTTCATTGGCTCTGATCGTTCTGGTGACCAGAATCGTTCTGGGATGTTTCATCGTTCTGGAAGTCACAATCGTTCTCGCAAACTGAATCATTCTCGCGAGCCTGAGACTAATAAAAAGAAAAAAAAAAGAAACGGCAGGCCAGAAGGATACGGGCCAGAATGGGGATGGTGGAGAATTTACAACAGTAAACTCAACATTTCCCTTCATCGTACTGGACTGGATTTCCGAAAAAATAAAAAAAATTGGTCTTGGATGCGCTGGGGCGTGCCCGGACCTCACGAGAATGGAAGATGACTTTGGCCAAACTATGGAGGCGGGCAGGCCCGGTTTGTGCATGCAGTCTTCCACTCATGTCACGCCAGGCCTCCCGATCCGACATTGCCAAACTCCTCCAGAACGTGCCTCTGGACAGTGAAGAGTCTGGAGCCAGAACGCGTGCTGTGCTGTTAGTTCGGCAAGCTATTGCACAAAGCTGGCATGTGTTGCGGGATGCTGTGCGTGCCACCGCGCGTGACGCATGGAAGCAGGCTGTTGCTGTTCATGAAAAGGCTTTAAAGGAGCTGGAGAAACTTCATGGCAGTGAGACTGCTTTTGCTCCTTGGCCTACAGACCTGATTGTGGGTGAGCAGCCTGTGCAAAATGCCGAGCCCGTAGAAGACATTCTTTCTGGGAAGCCTGAACGAGATTCTCCCCCGCACTCCTTCCATTACCTCGTCAGCCCAAACTCCGTGTGGACAGTTCTGAAGGCCTGGCCTGCTTCATGATGATCGGCATGCGCGCATCACTGTCCTGGCTTTTCTGGCCCCTAGTTCTTCGCATTCTCAGGTGGACCCGTCCAGCAGCGTGGACGGGTATGCGCACTATCTCAGCAATGCTGAGTGGTACAGGATGCGTACACCGTACTCGCAGTGGTTCACTAAAAATCTTACTTCTGTCTATGGTCCATTGGCCCAGCTTCTCGAAGTGGCACCTGGCCATGCGCCTGGACTGCAAAAAGGGCCTCGCATGTTGGGTCTCTGCTTGAGTATTTCTGTGTTTCTCAGGTTGCTCGCAGAGCAGGCTACAAGGGCAGTGTGGCCGGGGTGACAATGCTTCCCGTTGACGCATGCACAGTTCTGGGCATGCTGGTTATGATGGCCACTGTGCTGCCCACGACAAGCTTGGCTAATGAAGGACTCAAGGAATGTGTAGCCGTTCTGGAAACCCTGGAGGAGCATATGCGTGTGAATGCTACCGTGCAGCTGCTGCCCATGTCTGAGGTTTTTGCCGTGGAAGTCCGCGACAATTATATGACTGTTTCTTGCATCAAGAAAGTCCTGCACGAGCTGGATCTTGGCTGGGCCAGGCATCTTCCTCCGGCTTTGGGCATTAATATGGGAGCACGCTCACATTTCTGGGGTAGTGGCAGGGTATGATGAAATTAGACTATCTTAGGGTTCACATGAAAAGGGATTTTTACAGCCATGGTCAGGTTCTCCAAGAAAATGCCTCCTGGATGTAACGGAGCCTCGATACGACTGAGCCACTTCCTGGTGACTTGTCTTCGGATGCGCAACGACAAGCAATTCTGGGACACTTTGGGTTTCCGTCGTATGACCAAGAGGACCCTGCACTTGTTTGCGCAGCAGGCTGAGCAAACATTAGAATCTGTGGTTGTTGACCGATGCCCAGATCCTAGACTGGCGCAGAAGTACCATCCTTTCAGCAAAGATGCTCGACGTAGAGGAGATCGTTCTCTGCGCATGCAGTTGGTTGGTCGCTTCCTGTGCCGCGGGGCGGGCTATGTGACAGTCAAGGATGAGAAAAGCTTGGCTGAACTTGACATCGTGGCTGAGAAGTCATGTTTAGCTGCCCGCACTGCTTCTGAGTATGTGGCACGGCTACTCTTCAAGACCCAGCAGGCTGTTCAGGATGTAGTGGACAAGCAGGACATGCCCTGCCTCAACTTCTGCTTTGATGGCGCCACCATCGCCTCGGAGCAGGTGCTGGCGTGAAAACACGACCATGTCATGCCGTATTCCCACCATGTCAGTCTCTGCCAGGTTCTTGCTACAGTCTTCCGTTTGGGGGGCACGCACTTTGCGGGTCCAACCCAGCTACTGCAATCAAACACCTGCAGCCTTGATGAAGCTAGAGTTGCTGCCGAGAGCCTGGCCTCAGGTCTTGAAGGACGAATCCCACAGGATGCCTTGCAACGGGTTCGCTTCCCCCAAGACTGTTTCCGCTTCAAGGAATATCGGAGTTCAACAAAATATTTGTTGAATGGACTTGCTAACTCCATTCAGCAGGTTATGCATGAGGGGTGGTCCTTTGCAAGCTGCCGACCTCCAAATCCCCTGCGTGCTCGGGACAAGTGCAGTGAACGTCTTCTGCTGGACCGCGCAGAAATGCAACTATGCCCCAACTCCCCGCCTGCCGATTCCAGGCTCTTCTTCGTTTGGAACTCGGACACCTTGGAAGCCAGGTATGATTTCTACACCTCCGAGAAATTCACTCGCCTGGTTTTTGCTGCGGATGAGGGAACTGAGGCTCCGTTGGGGCAATCTGGTCATTTGTAAATGCCTGTCATGTAATGCGATTCGCAAACCTGTCAGGGCTACATTGCGTGGCAGCATCTGCTTGCGCACGATGTTTGGGCTCTCATGTGGCCAGACATATTCCATCGCTGTGCCCGGAGATGTGCTTCAAGCATGAATGCTGTGGATTCAGCTCCTGTGCTACTGCGCAAACTCATGCGCCTGTTCAGGTTCTCTCGGGGACCCTTCCGTTCGTCCAGATTTGGACGCCTCATCTGTGATGCCCGTTCTCGCTTGCTGCAATTGATGCAATCCGACCCCGACCTGGAGTTTGCAGAGATGTGGATCCCAGGCATTGCCAAGGATTGCGCAGGACTGACTGACGCAGGTCCTGGTTTCTGCAGCGACTTCACATCGCAGCATGTCATAGAGCAGCTTCGAAAGCGTGAAGGTTGCTGGATCTGAAACATAATACGGTGAGATGACACTCTTCATCTACATGTGCCATCCCAAGGCTGCCTACACTTGCGAAGTGACACGGCAAAAAGATGTTCGCTGGTTCTCCTTCTGGGATTATTGTGTAGAGTTGGACAAGGTCTGGCATCAGGAGGCCATGGCCCACTGCTTCTGTTTGTTCACAGAGGGAAAAAATCCATGGGCGTTCTCACCTCCCGGGGATGCCGTGGAAGATGCTTTCTCGGCCAGGATATCTGCTTGGTATGTTGGAACCCCAGTATTTGTACTTCATATGCCAGTGAACCCATAACCTGAAGCTTTCAACATGATTTCTCGAGGTGCTGGCTGATGATACGAACCAGGACAAAATGCGTTGCTTCATCACGGTCTTCAAAGCCCTGCGTCTCTTCCTGTCTGAATGCGCCCCATGACTGAAGAAGAACCGTTCATTTTCTGCGCACCTCGTGATGCATCACGCTTAGGCCCGGGACTTCCAGCAATCTGGGACTGCGTCCGTGAAGCACATGATCAGCCTTGGCAGTGGTCGACGAGTGGAAAAGCTGCTTCTGAGACCCACCTGAACTAAACATGTTGGTTGTTCCGCATAACTGAAGGAGCAACTACTCGTGACCGAATTAACTTTGAAATTCGTGGTCAGATTCCTTCTTGCATTCATGAAATAACGTAAGCTTTCAAAATTGAACATAGGAGAACCTTCAAAGATTGTGCTCGTGGGCCTGGGTTGATGTACACCGGAGCCCCGTCCGACCCGGAGACACTGTCCTGGCTGGCTACCCTGTTCTTGGAGCAGTTGAGATCCATCTCTGAGCTGGAGACCCCATACTCATCTTTCCCTTGGCGGGTCATCGTGTGCCTCAGCGGTGACAAAAAGGCTACGTTGCAGGCCATGAAGCTGGAATGGGACTTTGTCACGGATTTGGTGGATACCCTGCCCGAGAAGCATTCGCTACGGAAGCTTCTGAACATCACGCAAAGCCAGCCATACCGAGACATCATGACCAAAGCTGAGTGCCTCTTTTGTTGGTTTCTAGCTTTATCTGCTAAGAAACAAATGTAAATTCCCTCAACCACTGCAGGCGGGAACTAGTAATGTCGTTGAAGGTGCTTCGGCTTCAACTCTGATTCTCTGGAGTCTGATGAAGCGGAAGGATTCAGGAAGTGCTGCAGATGTATTGCAGGGCTTACAGGCGACAGCACCGACAGCATGCTTTCCTCCTTGGCGTGCGAGCTGATATTCAATGATGCCCGGGATTCTGGTCGTAGGCACAGCAAAATGGAAAAGACATGTCCCCACAACATCCATGCAGTTGCGCACAAGTCCACAACAAAGAGACCCTCTGGCGGGCAACCTCTGGTTCTTTCCAACGCAGACTGGTCCCTTCCGTTGCCCAGCAAGAATGTCCGCAACAGAGTGCACTCTGCATTGAAGGCCACTGACGTGGAGCTAGGTGTGAATTCAGACAAGCTGACTAGAAACAAGGCCAGCATTTACACCAAACCGCACATCATGAGCCAGCGCCTGAGCCTTCTGAAGGTCCTGACTTCTGAGTACACACGCAACATCAAAGAGGAGTTGCAGCGACAGGAGGACAGAATGGAGGTGCTGGATGTGATGTTCAAGGAGAGTTGGGTGTCCAAACTGGTGCCCAAGCACTATTTCATCACATGGGACGTGGACAACCCCGGCTCTGCGCGACACATGGTTTTGTCTGCTGGCCCCCACTTCCTAAAGGTGCTAGACCTCCAAGCTTTCTCGGAGGACATGTTCACTCCCAATGCAGACAAAATCAGTGTGCGCGATACATGGACAGGATCCCTGCTGGACTGTGCTGTGGCCCCCACTGAGCCGTGCTTGGCTTTTGATCAGCTGGCCTGGCGTGCGACGGGGCCATTCACCAGTCTTACTGAAGTTCTAGCTGGAAGCAGGCTGCTAGAGACACCCCGTTCGCTTCTAGCATCTGTATGCTCCGCACTTGGCCTGAAACACTCGAAGTTGACCTACAAGGCTCGCGTCCGAATGTTTTTAGAATACATGAAGAAGTCCACCAGCTTCATCGAAAGTGTTCTAGAGGAAATACCTGATGCAGAACCAAAACCTGCAAAAGTTTCTCGTTTTCGTGCGTCAGCAATCCTGTCATATTTCTTTAGATTAATGTGAGGAATAAATCATATAATCCTTGGCGAACCCTACCTCAAGTACAGTAAGGAACTACCCCGTACATACCTTGCAAATCAAAACCTTAAAACGTGTATAACCTAATCAGGAAATGGACCAAAATGATGAGCACTTGGACGGACAAACGGAAGATGAGGCAGATGAAGACTTGGCTGAGGAAATGGCTGAAGATCCTAACCAGGAACCTGACGAATGCCACGAGGCAGCTGCTGACCCCGCGAGGCCTGATGAAAACATGCCACAGTGTCGAGAAGAACACCATGCTGCGCCGCCTGGACCTGCGCAGCATGCGTCCGGAGAGCCTCTTGTAACTCTGTTCTAACATAAAGTAAGATGTCTCACCACGGCCGAGGATGTTCTGTGAAATAATACCCTACTCCCGCAATACGTTTTTGGTTCCTCTTACTCATCCCTCCAGAAATGAGAAACAGACTTACGTCATAAAGTCACATAATCCCATCCTCAAGTTCTTTGCTGTGCATGGGTAGCAAAGGTGCGCAGAGACGGGCCTCATGCATCACCGCAGCAAAGAGAAAAGCCAGCTGGGGACTTGCCATGCGGCTGCCGCATCTACGAGGGAGTTCCAAGCAATGGAAACCCGTTCCTTCAGGTGTACTTGCCTGGCGGTTTTCGTTATTCTAATCGCAAGTCACGAGCAGTCTGCTACAATGTGGCTGGGGCTACTGCAGAAACTGCAAAAGCTACAACACGTACAAGAGTGCAAGCCTTGGCGTCTGTTCAAACCTGGGCATGGCAGTGGTGGAACTCCTTAACCCAAGCTGAACGCGATGCTTTGGAAGACCTAAACATTCGTCATGCAGAGCCAGCCCAGAAGCGGCAAAGGAAGGAGTGATGAAATCACTCTTGCTTGGGATGTTTCTGGAAAATACCCTTTACATAACTAATAATTAGCATGCATGAGGCAATGAAAGCTTCCAGGAACTCCACTGCACACAGCGCGTGTGCAAAACGGATACCAATCAGCAACGGGGAAGATGCTGAAAAAAAATGCTGGCCATCGTGCAGCCATGCCTCTGAGGTCTCCTGCGTATGCCCTTGGTAACCTCTCCCAACATTGTGAAATTAATGACCAGAAGGCACCATCTCAAAGAATGGGGAAGGTGGACTTAGAAATGTAGGGGAACTCATTTCCATACAGGTCATTTTGGGAAGAGGAAGCTTGATCAACTACAATTTCTTTAGCGTTCTCAGGTGCAAGATAGGAACATGTGCGAGGCACTGTCTGTAAAGCATCGGGATGGCGATTGCAGTGTATCTGTCTGCATATTGTTAATGTCAATGCTAGGCAATAATATTGTTGATTCTCTGTGTTGTTTGACTTCGTATCAGGAAGGTCTGCATTCACTCGTTCTTGCCTAAGGGCTTCTCCCGACGTTCGGCCACCCGACTCTTGGCAAAAGATGCTGTCTGAATCCATGTTTGCCCTTTCTAGGGAGAGGAGTGGGTACATGTCAGGGGCACAATTTTTTGAATCAGGCAGGCTTTCAGACCCTAAATCCGCAGTCTCCATCTCCCCATTAGCTTTCCATGACTATCCCCGCAGACCCTATAGACCTTAAACCCTGAAGCGTAAACAGCGTGGCTCGCAATCTCAAACTCTAAGACTTCCCCCTGAGGGTCCAAGGACTCAAATACTGGGGATTGCTACGATTTAAACTTAAACGGTATCGTGTGCCTAGAACCCAATATTTGGGTACTTGGACCCTTGCGGTCAACTTGACTGCGATTAAAACTAGATAGCCCCATGTATGTAATGCCTTGCCTGCACCATATTCGAAACGTTTATTGGGAGGGGTTGGGGTGTTTGATAGTTAAGGGGAAGGGTAGTATCCAAGAGATTCCGAAGTATGCCAAGCCCCTGCATCCATAGATCCCGCACACCCCAAAACCCCTGGACTGCCCTGAGCAACCTAAACTCCCCAAACCATCTAGACTCTCCAACCCAAGCCCCCTAAGCCCCCCTGAATCCCCAACTGATACATGCTGCCGGCCTCAGCCCTAAACTCAGAACTCTAATGTAAGAAACCCTTTCAGGCCATGTCAGCACTTCGCGAAGTCTCAGTCTTCTCTGCTTGTCAGATCGTCCGCCAGGGCCCTGGGCAAGTGGTAAGGGCTCATTGTGTAGGGTTTGGGCTTTCAGGGTCTGAGGGTGTATTGGATATGGGGCTTGGAGATCTATAGGCGCGTTGGGTCTTGAGGGTTGGCAGTGGACTTGGGGGTCAGGGTTAAGGGATTCGGGGTTTCAGGTTTAGAGGTTTGGGATATACGGGTGTCGGGGTCTGATACGGGCTTCGGGGCTATATCAGCATAACATTGGATTTTCAGAGGGGTTGCAGGTTCTGAAAATGCAGTTTTTTTTGTCGTGTCCACGTACAAGGCATTGTGTATGTCGAGATGGGTACAACGTTCTTAAGCGGAATCATGTGACATATCCATTTGTGTGCTCTGGTAGGGGGAGGGCTTATAGGGCCAACGAAGTGCATGCGATCTGCATGCATGATCCATGGTGTCAGGAGCTTCATACATGAGCGGGAGCCTTTTTTGTGGGGCCTGTGCACCCATCAACCCCAAATCCCTAACTTTTTGGGAGGACGAGCACCTCCTAGAAGATGTCCCACGGTTGATACTACAAATCCTGCGTGACCTTGGTATGCTACCGTACCATGATCTTCAAGGTTATGGTACTTGTCATGCAGAAATATCTGATATCAGCTGGTATCAATACCACTATGGGCTATTAGACCTTAAGGGTACCTTAATCTACCCTTAATACGGTCCTAATATAGCATTTTAGGGTCTAATAGCCCATAGTGGTACTTTTCAGAACATCAGGTACCAACGCACCCAAGTCGCTCTCGAGTCTAAACTCGGAACCCTTCAAAACACCATGGTGAAGCTTGTCCATACTGAGTGGGGATGGGGGAATAGATAACTGGAGTAGTCACTGTATAGTCCCCTTTTAAATCCCTGGCATACAACAGTCTCTGCAGCTCATTCCCCCACTTCCCTAAACCCTACATTTTCCCTTCCAAGCATGAGTAGGGAAGATACAGATTCCCTGCCGAGGACCATTTAAACCCTCCTCTGAAACCAAGGCAACTTGCGAAACCAGGAAAAGAAGGCAGCTGGGAGCTGCCACACGGTTTAGGGTTTAGGGTTTAGGGAATATTGAGGCAAGATAGGGATAATGCAAAAGAGAATGGAAACTACTATAGTATATTGGGGTTATATGGGGATAATGGAAAAGAAAATGGAAGCTTGAGTTCAGGGTTTAGGGAGTAGGGTTGTTCTGCAAGATTCCCATCTACATCTAGGGTCCCCAGGGGCACCCAAACCCATGTTTCCAGAGACACCGTTTAAGTATGTGCGTAGAATAGGGTCCTCATACACCCCGCGCATGATTTCAGCGTATATGCCTAATTATTTGTCATGGTTGTAGGGTTGGGTGTTGGAGGTATATGCTAAGGTTTGGGGTCTGAGGGCTGTACTTTCAAAGGGTTAATTCGGGGTTTCGGCCTTATATTAAGGACCTTGCAAGGTTACTTCCACACAGGGGTGTGCAAGCGAAAACAAAACCAATACTTCAGCTCGATTCTTCACATCGCCAAACTGGGTCGCTGTGAAGCGGCTTCAACTAAGTTGCTAGAATCAGGAAACCATGTTTTTTCTACTAGATACTCATAGTATGGTAACTTAACTCAATGTCTTCAACACCAGCCAGCAAACATGCAGAACCATGTCCCAAACGGAGTGTTTGCGAGCAGCGTCGCCAAGCCAAATACGGAAAGGTATAGAGTATGTATTTGTCAATATTGCGGTTTCCCAGAATTAGGGGTACCATTTTGGGGATCCTCATAATAAGGGTTATAGTATATTGGGGTCTATATTGGGGTCCCCCTATTTTAGGAAATTACCATATAGTGCGTGCATCTGTTACTGGGATACATGCATAGGTGCATGCATGCATACATATCTATATTCACCCACATTATACCTTTATAGTGTGTTCTTTTTCTTGGTTGGGCTAGCCCGGCAGCGGTCGGACGATTGTTGATCTGATTTTTCTAAAACTGTTGGAAACCTCCTCACAGACTCAGACCCACAAAACGCCTTTGTAAAGCTGCCTTGTCAATACTCATCCACCTCAAGGTCTAGTCTGACGGCTGTTGGGCTTCTAGAGATCCTCAAAATATTCAGGGATGTGTAGGGTGTAGGGTATGTACCCTGCCAGCTTGGAACCCCACAAGGGTTTTGAAAGGATTGCTTTGGGCATGTCCAGGGTATGCCCCCGAAACGAAAATGGAACCGCTTAACGCCTGCTTGATTTAGGGCATGGGGCTTAGGGTTTTCCAGGGCCCTGTTTCGGAATTCCATGGCTACTTCGGGTGAGGGCAGGCAAGCAAGCGTCAACCCTAAAGCCAATACACGGTGTGTTGCCGAGGCTCCGCTACATACCAAGGAATGCAAACATCAAACATCAATTCACAGACTGCTCCAACCTTCTGCATTCCGATGCCGATGCCTGCAACTCCAGAACAACTCTCTACCAGAGATCTAGCATCATTGTCTTTTGGATTTCTTCAGCGATTCAAATGTTTTTTCACTCTGTATACTACGAGCCCTACTTCATGTTTTGGGAAATTGGTGCTTTTTTTGGGGGCGGTCCTAGAACAAGGCTTATGCGATAATGGGGTGCAGAGCGGGTACCCTCATTCATGGACACTCCCTCATCCCTAGGCAACTTATGTCATACCCGATGTCCATTTCATTTTCCATGTTCTTTTCCATATCATTCTCCGCTGTTGGGGGTAGTCTTCCAAATCCCTATACGCTTCCAAGGCCCTAAACCCTAAACTAAGCCAGCCATTCCAAAACTCAAGCCACAGATCACGAATGCCAGCGCGTGGGTGTGCAAGGCCTAGGATTTAGGATTTAGGGTTTAGGGTTTAGGGTTTAGGGTTCGTGGAATTTAGGCTTCAGGATCTTTGGGTTCAGGGAGCGTAGGCTTCAGGGATTGAGGTTTCTGGGATGTAGGCTGCAACTCGCAGGGTATTGGGGTTCAGGGATTAGGGGTTTTAGGGTTCAGGGATTGGGTTGGGGGTTTAGGGGTTTAGGGTTTAGGGGTTTAGGGTTTAGGGGTTTAGAGTTCAGGGTTTAGGGTTCAGGGATTTAGGGTTTAGGTACTGTGTAGGTATTTCATAATTAGCTCCCCATATATCCCATGTTCAATCTACGGAAGGGGGACTATAATCCTGGCAGTGTTCATTTGACCCCAATCGGGGAAGTAGGGTCTGTGGTTCT